AGGTTCCACACCTGCACTACCATTCAAAGGGTTCCACACCTGCACTACCATTCAAAGGGTTCCACACCTGCACTGCCATTCAAAAGGTTCCACACTTGCACTACCATTCAAAGGGTTCCACACCTGTACTGCCATTCAAAAGGTTCCACACTTGCACTACCATTCAAAGGGTTCCACACCTGCACTGCCATTCAAAAGGTTCCACACTTGCACTACCATTCAAAGGGTTCCGCACCTGCACTACCATTCAAAGGGTTCCACATCTGCACTGCCATTCAAAAGGTTCCACACTTGCACTACCATTCAAAGGGTTCCACACCTGCACTACCATTCAAAGGGTTCCACACCTGCACTACCATTCAAAGGGTTCCACACCTGCACTGCCATTCCAAGAGTTCTGATTCATGTTTTTTTTTAGATAACCATCATTATGGTAATATAATTTACAATGTATCTTGTTTATTTCAATCCACAGCACAGAATTATTTATTATTTAGTGGTGTTGATAAAATGTGCTGATAACCCAACACAACCACAATCTCTTATTCCTCTTTTTATGGTGAGTGCAGATTTCTTATACAGTTCATATGAATTTTTGTAAACTACTTCAATTTCACAAAATTAATGTTCAATAACTGAATTAGTAGAAACAAGCATTGACAATGCACAGTCCCTGTGTTTTATTCGCAGTTGACCTGAGTGTACAAATCATATAGATATCCATGTCTACCGGAGGGCTCTATGCATCATCTGCATGTCAATTTTAATGCAATGTGACTGGAATCAGGCGATATATTAGTGAGGAATCTGCATGGAGATGAATAAAACTAAATGACTACCAGTCTTGAATTTAAAAAAAATATAACGTGCACTTGTACACATTATGCTTGATTCTGATGCAAAGTTTGAAAATTGCCTTGTTAATCACCAAGAAATGGTTCTGAAAATGTTTAAGTATAAGCATTTAGTAAATTTGGAGACCAATTAGTCATATTTGATTTCAAAATTAGCATGCATATGTAAGTCATTATACATGGGTTTGATGTGAGTGTTTGATTGTGATTGGTCAAAACCTCTGACGCACACACAGACGCATAGATGGACGGAACACTACGATTCAAATGGAGGCTAATTATATTAAATGACAACATTGTCATGAATCTAACCCTGAATTAATAAAGATACTGGGCAGCCATTGTAGCCCAAACTAATTTTGGAAACACTGATGAACATTAAACTTGCTGGTTGTATTTCAGAAAACTTATCCAAGGATAGGCGTCTTAAAAGAAATGTACAGAGGGATTCAACATGTCTTGTGGAAAACTAATTCTATGTGCCACAAGAAAAGCTGACAGTTTGATATCAAATGTAGATGATTTGAAGTATTAACAGAACAATATGACGTCAGTGATGTTTTCAATGTCGACATTGATTGATTTAGGGATTCTACAATGAATACTTATCATATTCACTCCATGTGCAATTTCTAGATATTTCCTTACTAGATGAATTGTTCTGACACTTGGTGTTGCTCGAAACTGTAAAGTTATCTCTATATATTTATATTTATATTAAATTATAAGTACTAGAAGTAATGTTAGTTAAGTTTGAAATATGGGAATAAATTTGACTGTATAGATCTTTTGTTTGCTCTCTTGATTTATCCAAGAGCACCTATGTAGGAACTCCAAGCTGAAAGACTGATGTAACATGTTGTCTCTTGATCTACAATGATTCTTGTTTAAAAGGCCAATTTGAAATTTGGAGGTGAATTTAAATGCATCTTATTTCTAATAAGATGAATACTAATTTTACCAGTCTACAAGATATTACTTTTATAGTCTTTATAGTTAGATTTTTTAAACTTAATACATTGAAATACTTTTGTACTGTTCGTACTGCAGATTTGGTTTTTTGAATTTCATAGACAGTTTTATACATTTCATAATGTACAGTAATGTAAGTTTACTTAGAGGAACAAGTGAATCTTTCACTGTATAATGTACAATACGTTTTTAGAGGCTTCTGAAATTACAATGCCTATTGTTTAGTGCTTGTTCACATCCTAAACATCTGATTACATTGTATATTGTTGTATTAGTAATGAATATTTTAAAAATTGCAAGTTTGTACCAGTAATGAATTAATGATAGCATTTTTGTGTTTGATATGGGTTCCATACAATGTATACATGTAAATTCACACGAATGTTGCACTTTGTAGATCCTCAAAACGCATTGACAATCAACAGATCACACATTCCACCAATATTTAAAGAAGGTATACTGGACATTCAGCTGGTGCAGTCTTGGGTATATTATACCAGGTTTGAACCCAATTTTATACAAGTACATGCATAAGGATTTCACTATACACAAATATACTAGAATGCTGAATAATAATGAAATAATACTGAACTGTATGGCAATTAAAAACAATTTTTTTTGTATTGAGATTCATGTGCACACTCTTGTTTTGAGGGTTTGTGCAAAATCTCAAAAAAACTTTTGAGCAGATTTTTCATCAAATTTGGTACTTTGATTTTATTTCGGTTTCGGCAACATTAATTCCTTATTCCTGACAGACGTGATGTAATTATATTTGCGCATGTGTAACCTACCTGACAATAGCGAGGGTAAGACAGAAATATAAAAAGTTGAAAAAGAACAATAGATATGCTACCCTATAGTGAAGTCAGTGGTGAAGATAGCGAAGTGAGCATGGGTGGGTACACAAAGGGTCAGCTAGAAGAATAATATCTGAGAAAAGTGAATTGCCAATTGAAAAAGATTTTTTTCAGAGAAAATGAAGTGAAAAAGATATGGTATGTGTGTGTTTTGCTGAGTAAAAATGACTCAGCACAATTAAATATTTAATTGTGCTGAGACAACAGCACAATTAAATATAATCAACAAAAGCATCTTAAAGAATGACAAAAGCCCCATAAAGAATTTTGACATCATGTGGCTTGCAACAGATAACCTGAAAACCATGTACAGGGCACTTATTATTCTATAAACTATCTGTATATACCGGTATATCACATTGGGCTTCGTGTAGACTTGTTTTTAAAATGTCCTTTTTTTTATTGATAGATCTTAAAAGTTTCACAAAGTACAATGAAAGAAATTTCTCTCTGATGAACACATAATATCTGATATATAAAATAAATAACAAAGTATACAAAGGCAATGAACAGCTTCAAGGAATACAAAAAAATTAAATAAACAATGTATGTAAATTGCATGTTGATGCAACGTGAGTAACTTGTGACCTACACACGTGACACACACTAATCGCTCACTAGTGTTCCAATATTTTATCCCATGTGTAATTATTTTGTAGCACAAATGTTATTTTAGTTCAGCAAAATATTGATGCGGGGAGGGGTATATGTTTAAAACTCATATTTAATGCTAAACAAAAAAGTGGATTGCAGTGAGAAAATGGTGAAGAATTATTGCATTTACAATCTTGGACTGAATGTGCATGTAAATCTCAACATCTGAGGTACAGTTTAAATTAAACTGCACAAAAAAACGTAACATAATAATTCCGTAATTGTTAATTTAAAACATGATAAAAATACATTACATTAAATTTTAAATTATTTCTATAATTTGTATCA